ATGAAGCCTTTCCTGGTTCCCTTCCTTTTCCTGGGGCCCTCGCTCCCCAAACAGCTAACACGTAACCAAGGAACCTCGTTTTTACTATTTAGTGTTTAATCCCTTTACACACGCAGGCACATATGCATACACGTGCGTGCACACACACACACACACCCTGTGTACATGTAACTGTGTCCTCCAGCACCAGCACAGGCCCCCACACAGTAGGCGCTTTACCCAACCTTGCTGACTGATATAAGGCTAGCCTACTTTCCACAGTTCTCCCTCAAATCTTTATTAAATTCCCACTTAGTACAGAGTAGGGGCTTGGCTCCTGGGGGACAAAGACATTTAGGTGAGATCCAGTCCCTTGTGTTACAGCATGTGGTGGGGGGTGGAGGAGGAGGGGAACACGAGGGATTTTTCTGTCCTGCTTGGGTCACACTCTGAAAGTCAATGGGCCCCGTGAAAATGTAGGTCAAAGGGCAAACAAGTGCATTGAGAAGGAAAACTTGGGAAAAACAAGCTGCCCGCATGCGAGGAAGGGAGTTGTGGCCTTTGATTCAAAGGCAGAGAGGAGCGTAGGAAGGCTTTGGGCCAGACTGAGTCAGCCTCACACAGGCACTGCTGCGGGCCCGGCTGCTCCTCTGGCCACACATGGCCAGGCATTTCTGCTTCCTGTTCTATACCCCACGGCTGGCATGGACGCTGGGGCATTAGACTGAGTCACTGCGACCACATAGTTTAAAAGTAAAACCCAAACACAAACCTGAAGTCAAATGCTACAGTTCCATTCCCCCGGCCCCCGGGCAGGGGGAGGGCTTTGGGGCTCGCTGGCTTTTCATTCATGTTTCCCGATGGACTAAACGAGTCACCACTAACGGGGAATTTTGATTTGTCATTTCTCCCCCCCCACACTTTTTCTCTGGATATCTATGTGTATATTCATGTAAACATATAGGAATGTATGTATTCCTCAGAATATCTGTGTGTTGTTCTACAGATGTGTGTGCACACATGACTACACACATAACCACATGAGTGTGCATTTGTGTTCACGGTCTCCAATCTCCTGGGCAAGCCCCTTGGCCTGAGTGGTTGGTTGGGGCAGCAGCCTTGGGACCAGTGGAGACAGTCAATGGCCCTGGAGTAGGGCCGTTTCAGGCCTTAGAATGCCTCCCTTTCCCCCAAGTCAGCCCCAGGCCACCTCCTATGTGAAGCCTGCCCTGATTTTTTACCCTTTCTCACTCCCCTTCTCAGTCTTCTCCTTTTGAAAGTCCTTGGGGCATGCCTCATGTGTACCTGCTGGCAACGCTGGCCCCCGGCATCGCTCCCTTCTCACAGGGGCCCAACCATGAGGCTGTGCAGATTGCCTCCCGACTCCTGATGGGATGTAAGCTGCTTGAGGGAGGAGGAAGCCTGCTTCTGTCTACGTGTCCCCAAGATCCGACACAGTGAGGGGCACACTGAGGGTGATTAAGAAATGCTTCTTGGATTGAACTGAGGTTTACTTAAAGCTAGAACTTTCAAGTTCGCAAACACTTTACAAGTATCATCTCACTTTATCCTCAGAACAACCTTGGGAGGCAGGTGCCCCCGTTTTATGGATGAGGAAACTGAGGCTGGGGAAGCAGCTTGTCCAGGGTCACCCAGCTGGGAAATGTCTGAGGGGAGATTTGAACTCATGGCTTCCTGACTCCAAGATGGCGCCCTTTCTGATGCGCCGCAGGCTCCTCGGCGTTTTAGCCAGGAGGACAAAGTTTGGTGCTGGCCCTTTGAATCATGATGCTATTATCACTGGTCACGATACTCGTGTTTGCTTTAAACTTCCATGTTGGGTAGGCTCCCAGGGGTCTGCAGAAGGGGAAACCCTTGAGATGTTCCTCTCCCTGACACTGATCTCAGACTCCTAGTCTGGATGGTAGATCGGTGCCATTGCAGGGAAAGCCCTCTGCGTGCTCCATGTGGCCTTCTCGGGCCTGCCCTCCCACACTGCTGCCTGCCTGAAGGGCTGATAATTTATAGGAAAGACAGGGCGTCATTGTCGTTGCAACTTTAAAAAACCCCCACCTTCATGCCGTGGAACACAGAGTGACTTTGTGCGGACGCTGACTTGGGCAATGATCTTACTCAAAACCTCGGTGAATTGAGTAAGTGTCTGGGTGGCCTGTTTAGTAATAGGTCTGCACACGCTTATGGTCCTGAACTGTAGGGCTTTGTTAGGCAGGAGCAGCCCAAGACAGCTCAGAACACACAGACACACACAAAACACACAGGGAATGATGGGTATAGGTAGAACCCGGCTCTCTCCAAGGCTCAGCTCAGGCACTGCCCCTTTTTTGATTCCTCCTCTCCCTCCTCCAGTTATTACTGCTCTCTCCTCAGAAATTTCTTTGAATTGACCCATTCTATATTTCGTTTTGACTTTTCCGTGTGCATATGGTATCTCTTTCTTCTGCCCCCAATAGATAGTGAGCCTTTTGAGGGCAGGACCCATTTCATCATTGTCTCTGGGCCTCATACCTAAGAAAGGCTCTGTCTGGTGCTTGGTAGGTGCTGAATGAATGAATGACAAAGGAAACCAAAGCCCAAGTGGGTGGTTTTTTTTTTTTTGGTATATTATCATTAACCCTGCTGGCTGTATTCACACTGAGTGTGTTCACACTCACTGCACATGGGATGTGATCCAGGCTGGCCCTCTGCCCTTTATCATGATTATCTCATAGTCAATTAAAGACATGGATGACACACTCACCAGGTTGGCCAGTGAAGCTTGGGAGGGAGGGAGGGCAGGCCAGCTCACGGAGGAGAATCTGCATCTGAGAAGACCCTGAGAACCCCAACCTTCCTTGGGTGGCTTGGTGAGCACCTCTCTCCAATGAGCACACCCCCTCTGCCTTCTCTAAAGATGGCTGTCCTGCATCTTCCTGTAAATCCTAGGGGGTGGGGTAGGGGCACCTCTATTTAGGAGGTTTTCCTCTCATCTTGACCATGTACGCATACCATAGGCACAGGGGAGAGAATTACCTCCTTATCGTTAAATCTGATAGATTTAAGCAGAACCACAGTCTCCAAATATGCGAGCTCTCCACTTTTTCACACTTGCCAAACCTTAGTTTCTCAGGGAGCTGACAACTCCCCAGTGAAGGGAGGTCTGGGGAGACGTGGAGGTGTCCCTGACTTGAAGCCTCGGAGCACTGAGGGACCTGAGCTGCCTTCAGGGCAGTCCTCGTGCAAGATTTCTTAGGGCTCCACAAACAACTTGGGGGCCTGTGGGCTGACACCTCAGGAGTAGGTGGGCAGCCCTGCCCGTGATGGAGGTTACCCAAAGAAGTAAGGTGCATCAGTGAGTCATTTTTGTACTTTTCTGAAAAACCAGAGTGGGCTGGAGGGCTCGCTGCCAGCCCTGCTGCAGAATTCTTGGTTATTTGTTTTTTGTGTGTTTAGCCCCCCAGAATGCCAAGGGTAAGGTTATAATTAGTTATTAAGGCCTGTTCTTTAAACTGGGTAGAGTTGGGGGTGGGGGTGGGGCAGGACCTCCTTTAAAATGTCAACAGTTTGAAATGAGTAGGGTGCTATTTCTCTCTCCCAGGGCCCTCCCCTCACCAAAACTGATTAAGAGAGAACATTCAGATCAACATATGGATATATATTTGGCTCAGGGGATGCTTTATCTGACAGCTTGGCCATGTGGTCTCCAAGAGATACTATTTTAAAGAACTCTCCAAAAGCAGCTCATTCCATGAAGGGTCTGGCCCCCTTGGGGATGATGGTGAGAGTGGGGCAGAGTTGGGTCAGCTCAGCTGTGGGGCTCTCCATGGTACAGAATTAGACAGAAGGTGTTCAGACATCTCGGCCTGGCTCTATTTGCCTTTGCTTTCTGACAAGTGAAGGCATTCATTTCATGATTTGTGTGCAGGCACACACACACTCTGAGATCAAGATGCTGGCCCCCTTTGTGTCCTCGGAGTCCTTCTCTGCACCCTTGTGATCTGACCGTGACCTTCTCATTTCCTTCAGAGAGAGGCCCTTCTCTGCTGATGCTGCACAGGCGAAGGGGGGCAGGGCAAAGCTCTTTTCCTTAGGAGCTCAGTTCTAAGGATTTGGATTCATGAAAAAGACAGTCCCCTCCATTCTCCATCCTCAGCTCTCAGGACCTGTCTCTTCTTACTGGACAAGAGAGGTGTCAAACATGCAACCTATGGGCCTGTTGGGAAATGTTTAACAAAACAAATAAAATACAATAATGCTAGGATGTGGTGTTCCAAGGAGACATGCACCCGCAGAAAACATTCTGTGCTGTTGAGTGGCCCTTCCTTGAATTCGACACTCCTGCGGGACAACTCTATGAGAATGAGCTGTGCGATCTTAGGCAAATCCCCAAACCTCTCTGGGCTAATTAGCTGGAAAGTGAGACAGTTGGACCCCAAGATCTCTGCTCTAAAACTGTATAAAATGTTAATGTGTCAGAGGTCTGATCTTGTTTTGGGTCTTATCTTGACCTCTTTATTTCCAAAGCCAGGATTGCTTCAGGATTTGTTGAATACCCCCTCTGAGTGATCCTGGGCACTGGTGAGAACTTGGGGAGGTAGCAAGAAAAGGTGACATTGGCCTTAATGAACAGGGGCCCCTCAGGCTTGAAGCCCCAGAGTCACAGAGAGTCATAGGGTTTGTGTCCAGGGTGCTGACACCATCATGGAAGACTTTCTAGGTTGTCTGTCTGAGAACTCCCAGTGTGAAGCCTGGCTTTGCTGCTTCTCTGCAGCCTTGGACAAGTCCCTTCCCCAGTCTGAGCCTCCATTTCCTTATCTGCTGAAGGAGGGGGTTGGACTGGATGGTCTCAAGGAGTGATGCAGTCAATCTACCACAGTAGGTCAACTTTTGAAAATTGGAGGGAGCAGGTCATGCACCCAAACCACAGGTCTAAGAAAGTCTAAACTAAGCCTCAGGGCAGGTCTAGGCACAGGCTCCATCTGAGTCCTTGGACCACAGCTAAAGTCTCCGTCTTGGTATCTTAGGAAATTTACCAGTGGTGTGGCTCAGCCTGTAACAAATATGAGCGTCTGAAGGCCAACCAAGTCGCCACGGACATTCGGGACACGGAGAGGAAGGGACGATCCCAACTGATCATTGTGGAAGACGGAAGCGAGCCCCCTGAGATCCTCCAGGTAGGCCGACGGGAGGGCGCAATGACACACAGGGTGTGGAGGCTCCGCGCCTTTGGGGAGGAAAGACCCCTGGGTGGTCAGAGGCTCTCCTCTCCCTCCAGACTGACCGGCCAAGCAGAGGCGCGGAGCTGCGGCCTCCCATCCCACCTCTGCTGTACCTGCTGGGGGTCCTGGAGGGCCCTTCGCTAGGCCTCAATGTCCTCATGAAATAAGAGGTTTGGATCACAGGGTCTGTGAGCATCCTCAACTCTGAGTTCAGCAACCTACCCTTCATCCCTGCTCCATCAGGCCACATCTGTGAGCCTACCCTTGCCCAACTGTGAGAGGAGGAGGCTCTCGCTAGGGCACGTCACTGACCTGCTCCCAACTCTGCCTTGACTCCCACCGTCTGGGTCTCCCCTGGCCACTTCAGCCCCCACACGATCTGCCCCAGCCTCCCTTTCCAGGCTCACCTCTGCTTACTTCCCTATGTCCTGCTGCCAGCTGCTCCCCAGATTTGGGGTTCCCCTCCCGCCACTGTACATCTGTCCTGTGTCTTTGTCCAGCTTCTATTGATTAATTCGGAAGGTGTAAATGACCAATGGAACATTAGCAAGGCAGTTTTTATGACCTAGAATATTCAAGAGAAAGACTGCTGAGTTTTATTTTGTTCCTGGGAAAACATTTATGTTGTTGTTGTTTTAGGCAATTGGGGTTCAGTGACTTGCCCAGGGTCACACAGCAAGTAAGTGTCAAGTGTTTGGTCTGAGGCCAGATTTGAACTCAGGTCCTCCTGACTTCAGGGCCAGTGCTCTATCCACTGCACCACCTAGCCACCCCAAAAACATTTATTTAGAGTGTCACTAAAGGGGTGATTAATGAACGTGAAGCAGTGATCACAAAGACCCAGGGAGTCGTCTTCCTCTTGTGATGGGGCTGGTAGGTCGGGGACACCGATGTCACTTACCCAGATGTTAGCAAAGCCCAAGGTCTTTCTTCTGGGAATGGCATAATGATGTCATTGGGTAGCCTTGGCCTGGCTGAAGGGCAGAGCCAGGGAGAACTTGGTCCCAAGTGTTTACTGACTGACTGACTGATGGTGTCTTGGAAGGAGGTCTCCAGAGGGGAGCCCCAGGGATCTGTCCTTGGCTCTGGGTTTTTTAACCTTTTTTTTATCCATCTTGTGCTGGATGGGTGGGATAGATGGAGAGATCGGTAGGGAGATAGATAGATAGATATGTAAATAGACAGACAGACAGATATACAGATAACGGACTCCTTGAGCAATGCGCAGAATCACAAAGATCTCAACATAAACTCAAAAAAGAGAACAAATGGAATAAACTGTTTAATAGCAATAACCACAAAGTAAGCTGCAGTTAAAAAAAAAGTCTGCTTCACCAGTAAAAGCTAGGAAGAGGAGTAGGAGCAGAGGGTGGATCAGGGGCTTTAGTGAACGGAAGCACCATTTGAGCCCACAAAGGAAAGACCAGGTCAAAGCCCAGCCCGAGATAACTGACTAGCAGTAGGACCCTGGGCAAGTAACTTGTCTGCCTCAGTTTCCTCATCAGTAAAATGGGGATAATATAATAGCCCCTCCCTCCCAAGGTTATTGGGAGGAGCCAAGGAAATAATGTTTGTAAAGCATTGTGCCAACCTTAAGGTGCTACCTAAATGCTAATAATCGTCATTTTAATGATCTTTATCATCGTGGTCATTATTGTTAGGTCTCATTTAGAGAAGCAGAGAGGCCAGGACCAGGAAGGGTGGTGGTCCCGCTGCCTGTTTCGAGGGTCGTGTCCAGTTCTGGGCACCCCAGTCTAGGAAGGGTGTTGATAATTTCCACAGGGGGTCAACCAGGTTGGCTAGAGTTCCAGTGTTTAAATCCCAAGAGGATCCTTTGATCTCTCATACAGGTGATGCATAAGCCTGACCCTGCGCTGCTCAGTCAGGAAGATGTGAGTTCAAATCTTCCCTCAGACACTATCTGTGTGACCCTGTCTGACTCAGTTTCCTCATATTTAAAATGAAGATAACAACAGCATGTACTTCAGTGAGTTCTTGTGAGGAATCAAATGAGATAACTCATCCAAAGTGCTTTGTAAACCTCTAAGTGCTAGATTTATGCTAGCTATTATGATATTTAATGATGATAATAATAATTCTCTTCTGGCTCAGTCTGGCAATGGAATCTGGGACCCCTCACTTGATCCCTATCCCACAATGTTGCACTTCGCCTGTCATACTACCCCTCTGCTAAGGCTAGTGATGGTCCTTGGACCATGCGAGAGAGGGAGGAAGATGGAGGAGGGTCCGCCACTGGCCCCTCTAGCCCAGGCTGAGGTTCTGGGCTGTTGCCTAACCTTGTCACGGGCATCTTCTTCATCTTGGACACATCTCCAAGCCACCTGTCACTCAGTCTTGGCCTCTCTACCTGGTTTCTCTCTATGACCTTCCTGTTTGCCCAATGCTTCTCCCTCTTTACTGTAAACATTGTCTTTGCCTTTGAAAGGTGGCATATGAATTATTTAGAAACATGTTCCATGGGTCTGTGGATCCTTTCATTATGCAAAAAGCAAGTAAGGAAAGTGAAGGGGAATGAAACTTGTCGCCATCCCCGAGGACTTAGAATCCACTCTCTGGCACCAGTGAGGGGCTCGGAGCCTCCTCATGGGGGTGCATACTTGGGCTATTTCTCTTTGGGGTTTCTCTGCAAAAAGAAATAATTTTAGAAACTTTACCAAAAAAAGTATTTTTTGAAAGTACTCTGTTGGAAACAAGAAAGAGGAAGCAGTTGGATAGATGGCCAAACACAGTCATGAGGAAAGCCGGGCTGTACTTTTCCAAACTGGAAGGACTTGATCCTGAGGTCACTGGGTGGACTGACCAAGGCCAAAGCCTATGGCTGAGCCAACAGCCCGGGGTCAGTGGGGAGCAGATCTTGGCCTGGTGTGGTCCTGGGCTGTGGGTGTGTATTGTAAGACAGCTGGAGGAAGCGGGGTGAGGGGAGCCTTTCCTCCTGGAGTCTGAAATACTCTCCTTCTCCTGCCCCCTCTCCTTTCCCCCTCCTCCATCTGCCTCTCCTTCCCTCCCCATGAACATCGGTTTATTACACAGTGCACAAGAGGCCCCCAGGGACACAGAGAGGGTGGTCAACAACGTTTCTTCTTTCAAGGGGCCTGGGGTCTAATTAGGGAAGGACCATTAGCACATCGTGAGCATTTTCTTTAGTAGATGTCTGCTCTCAGAGTTGTGGGACCTCCCTCCACTGGTATGATAGTTAATAATAATAATAATATAAGGAGAATCACAACAGCTCAGATTTTTAAAGCACTTTAATTTTGGAAAGCCCTTTACATGCATTATCTTATTTGATCCTCGCAACAGCCCTGGTGGCTAGCTGCAGTGCTATTATTATCCTTGCTTTACAGATCAAGACACTGAGGCAGGTAACATGACTTGGCCAGGGTCATCCAGCTAGTGAGTGACTGAGTGGGTCTAGATCACCTTTCCTGGCACCAAGCCCCCTCCACTTCCGGGTCTGCCTTTCCTCACCTCCTGCCCATTGGTCACTCTGCGTCATGTCCTGTTGTCTCTTCACACCCACCATGACTCCACTGTCCACCAGTTCCCCTGAATGTGGACATGTCGCTGTGACGTAAGATGACAGATGTTGCAAAGGTGGTGAGAGTGGCCACATTCAGACTTGGTTGAGTGAATAGCTAGCATCCTAGTCGCTGACATTTTGAGGACATTTGCAAGTTGGCAAAGCTTTCTGTGGACACCTCCTCCATGGAGGCCTCCTGCTCTTCTCTCCCAGTCCACCTCCATCTCTCCCAGAATTCCTCCTCCTTGGTGAAAGGACATCTGCAAAGACCTTTGGAAACCTTTGGAAGTCCACCGTGGTCTGCCGTCATCCCCTGGAGGAGGAATTTTGGGGCAGAGAAGATCTAGGTGTCTGTAAATATTTCTGAGACTTACATGGAAGGCGGTCTCAACTTGCTTTGTTTGGCCACAGAGGGCTGAGCTAGGAATGATGGGTGGAAGCCCCTCGGCAGAGAGGCAGGTTTCAGCTTGACGTCAGGAAAACCTAAGGGTGAGAGCTGTCCAAGGTGGGTGGGAGGCTGTGGAGGTAGCAAGTGAGTTTTCCCCTCAGTGGAGGCCTCCACGCAAAGGCTGTTGGGACTCTTGTGAAAAGGTTTCTGAGGTTAGACTGGAGGCCTTCTGAGGACCTTTGGACTGGGAGATGCTTGGCTCATTGACCTCACCCTGGCTCTGCGGATGCCCCCCAGCCAGTGGAGCCCACATCTGACTCCTAGTCACCGGCCTTTTGGCAAACATCAGCCTTGTTCCAAGCTGGGGGCTGGGGTGAATGCTGACCACCCCCCCCCAGGGTCCAGGCATTTCATTGATTATCCACAAAGAAGTTCAGCTGTGGCAGCTGCCCCTTATTATTACCATCACTTGGGACTTTTGTATCTGGGCGATGGCGTTGTGTCATGGAAGGAACCCTGGACCTGGAGGTTCTGTTCCCAGCTGCAGCACTTACTAGCCCTATCACCTGAGTGGTTTAGTTCTTCAACTGTAAAATAGGCATGATAATAGCTGTGCTGCCGGCTTCACAGAGAGGAAAGGGCTCTGGTAAGCCCCAGGTACCACAGGGGTGTGAATTATTGTGAATCTGTCACTGGTAAGAAGGAGGGATTGGGAGGAGGCTGCCTCTCTCCTGGCTGTGGGTGGGTGGTCTTTGCCAAAATTAGAACAGGCAAGATTGCTGGCTTTCCACAGGCCATCCTGGCTTTCCATGAGCCATCCTGGCTTTCCACGGGTCATCTTGGCTTTCCATGGGCCGTCCTGGCTTTCCACAGGCTGTCCTGTCTTTCCACTGACCGCAGATGCAGGACTTTGGCCCCCAAAGTCAGGTAGCCTGAACCTTCTCTAAGTCTAGTTCCTGTCTTCAGACAAAAGGACTCTTTCTTGGTTTAATCAACAGGCAAAGCACAGCAGTAATGTCCACGTGG